AAAAAATTGAATGCAACGGGAAACAATCAAACGTAGTATCGCACTGATCTCGTTGAATGAGTTGAGCTTACACAGCTCACCTCAAAGAGTATAAGGGTTGTCAAGAGACTGCCAAAGTGTCTGCGTGGTTTATACTGCAGTCCTGTTCGAACTAAAGAGTTATCTTGAATACCTACAACGCTTTGGCGCAAATTTCAGGTAATCGAATCTCCTAATTGCACTTTTTACTACCGCAGAGTTGCTTTGAAAGCAACTGTCGATTCCACGAACAACTTAGGAAGTAGACGCTTAAAGTGTAGCGTCTTGACTTTACAAAAACAACATCCAAGCCATTGAAGTTGTTTTGCCATAGTGCTTTGGTTACTACGGTTGGAATGTTTCAGACGTTCATTAGACAAAATTACAAGAGTGTTAAGGTAAAAAGTTCCAAACCATCAACACCCTAAGGCCGCCACGGATAAGTACGCCGATGGATAAAACTTAATTAAACGCCATTACCCATTTGCTTTATCGCCGCATCAGATGACCGCTGCGTGGCATCGACTTGATCACAATCTCAAACGGCACCGACCCCCCAACAACATGTAACACGATTAACAACGGTGCGATTAGCGATGCAACAAGATTAATGATGCCGAAACACAACGGACATCATGACTTTCGCGGAAAGGCGTGAAACTGAGAGAATTCAACACCCGTCGCAAACACAGAGACATTGTTCCTCCAGACTTGAGTCTAAAAAAAGCTAAAGTTCTTGGGCGTCAATCAATTCCGCCTAAGGGTGCGCTCCCACATTCGATTTCTATTCAGGATTGTGTGAATGTGTATATGGCCATACAATGACTTGCGGTGGCCAGCCGATGTGTAGGTCCGTGCTTGCACCCTCTCTGACGATCCTCTACATTCCTAGGAGTCTGGTAACAAAAACCTGACCACTAGGGATGGAAAGCTTGGTTGGCCTAGGCGATTATCGATCCGGGATTCGAACCCGTGACCACGCATGAGAGATAGTGCGCCGCTTGCCACTTCACCACTTCCACTCGTCCTCTAGACTAAAGCATACAAAACAACCTCGGTGGAAAGGACCACTTGCTCATCCAATGAGGCAAGAAATTTCTTGACCAGTAAAAAGGCAAAACTACTGACAACATTGCATTCCTAATGCTAACCAGTATCTCCTGATTGTTCACGAAAATGAGCAGCGGTAACGTTTTCGAGGGACCACCTCGCAGCTGATCAGATTGGAATTAATATCACGTCAAACTCGTTGCCTCACCGCACTGTTTTCTTTTCCTATAGTCATCTTGCTTAGGCATTGTTTTCACTACAAGTCTCCGGTCTGGGCACTTGCTTTCAGTATCTTAGCCCTTTGAGTCGTGAACTTGATCTACCCCGAGGGTTTCTTTTCTCGCGACTGAACCATTGCGCTTAAATGTTAGGAAAAAATTGCACACCGAGCTTGCAGGCTTATTCAAGCAAGGCAAGACATCGTTAAGAGACATTTAGTCGGTGCATCCCCCAGCGGTCCTGGAGAATTCGGGTACGAGACAAAGCGAGCGGCGCTAACTCGATTTGGATCGCTCTCTAGCATTTTCCTCGTACCCACTTTTCTCTTCGTAGACCGCTAGTTATGCTGCAGAGACCTAACAAACAACAAACAAACTCTTGGTAGTACGGTGGCGTGCTTGAGTGGGAACACAATTCGGAAAAATAACTCGACATAGCGAAGTCAATCCCCAGACATAGCGATACCAATCCCCGCTGCACATGCATACACCTGAGGGAATCTTGACACAAAGACCTCCTTTCCCATCGTGCCCAGACAACAGTAAATGATAATACATGAATATTACACTGGAGAATCGAACTACATGGGTATAAAGGAGCATTAGTCAGTTGACACTGTGAACGTTCATAAATTACTGATTTCCAAAATTAAAGTTTGATTTTTTAAAGCTCATTCTTGATCATGGATACTAAAAATTAACCATACAAGTGAAATATTAATTAAACATTCAACCTTTCAACTTCGAATTTTAATTTTAAACAAGCTGCAAAGTCCCAACATTAGCAACAAATAATTTGCCAAAAATGAACCTTAAACCCTCTCCAAGACACTTCATGTACTACAAGAGGCATGAGTAACAACATAGGCTGTTTTGCAATATTCGGTACGAATTTCAAACCCTGAAAGCTGGATTTTCCTTAGATCCTTCCCTTCTTGCTGTCTATGACTCCAAAATGGACTATTTCTTTCTGGTGGAATCAGGGATAAGGAATAGAGAGAGCTCCTTCTTTTTGGCACAATGTTATGCAATAGCTGCAAGAATTCATTTGCTACAATTTCTGTGTTGAGAGCCTTTGGAGCCCTCCACCAAATAGAAATTTACCAGGCGTTCGTCACATTTAACGAAATGTGCAATTGCCTGAAAAGTACAACGTCCCCTCCCCGAACAGCCAATATATTGCCGATTCAGATGCGCTCGACCATTGGCATTTACAGCCCCCATAGGTATAGGTTGTGGCGATCGCAGATTCTGAGCGATGATTGTTGGAAGCTCCATCATGGAGCAAGTAGCCGCTACCACGCACTCCCCTCTGTTACAGCTCCCTGGTGATTTCGTTTCCCACTCGACCGGGGCCTATTATCGTCAAGTGGTAGTATACTGGTGCCCATACCAAATGCGCCCACTGGCAATCACAAAGCATATCGAAAATCCTCCGCGCACTTACCTACTCTCTTTAAATTGAAAATTTGCTACTGAATAAAAAGACAATTAAAGAGAAATTCGGTAGAATTGAATTCGTCAGACTTCTGACAGATTGCAAACAAACTTGTTTCAAAAAAACAACACTAAGTTCAAAGGTCTGCATCTCTTCACCCTATTGCACTACCACCTCGAATCACAGTAGCACTCAAAAAGGATGTCCGCTCTCCTTTGGAGCTTTTAAAAGTTCAACCTTTACCCATTGTTCATGTCTCTCGGTTTGAAAGAGGGGTGAAATAGCGGGATCGTTGATGTTTATGAAGCACCCAATTAGTTATTAACAGATTTGTAACTTTTTCTCAGACATATTACTACAGTATGCTTGATTCTCTGTACTGGAATTACACAAATTTATGTAAGGCTTCAGAAGAGAGGATTTTTCACAGCAAGGTGACTGTCATCACGCGAAACTCCTAAAAACTATTTGTCGACTATCAATATTCCTCAGTGACAATCAGCATTTTCTAGAAATCCTTCGAGGTTTTCTCTTGCAAAAACCTACAGAAGAAAGCAAAAAGAGCTTCTTGAAGACTCACATAGTAAAATCATAGTGACCAGGCATGTTTGTATGCAGAACAATTTTGATCACACGTTTCGTCACAAAGTCGAAAAGCACATCCTGAAATGTTGGCATTGAAATGGCAGTTGCATACGAGGAACACATTTCTAAATTCACTGCCCCAAGACCTATTTTATAGCTATACTAGGGAGAACACCTAGCTGCACAGTTAATAACCTGAAGCGCGAACCTAGCAAAGAATCATGGATCACGATCCCATGTAGTTTGCTGGAGGCTTTCAGCAGTTAGGTTCTGCCAGTAATATCATAAGCACCGAAATTATGTCCGTGTACAATTTCATAAACAGCAGAGCCAACCCGATTTCCGGTCACCCAAGACGGCTCATCCTGTAACGGAACGCTAAGTGTGCGTAATGAGCCTAATCGCATTCGTTCATTTGGGTAAACACATTCTCATCGATCTCATCCTACTCCGCGGACACCTCTTTACATTTAGGACACAGATGACGATATCCGCAAGGGGAGAACGTGATTTATTACATTTTTCAAAAATTCGGAGAATATCCCCAAGGGGGACGGACAGCTGGATCGGTTAGGCTAAGCCGCCTCTCTCTGGACTTCATCCCTTTCTCTGGTTCACCGTGCTGTTTCGACCTAAACGAGAAAATTGCAACTCAATGATATCAGAAAGGCCCCATCTCACCTTTGTTACATGCCCATCTGNCCCAATAGCTAAAATCAAGGCGCTCTCTTCTCACCCATGAATCTACCAGGCCCAAGGCTCCTTCACAAGCGAAATCACCGCGCAATAACCCCCTCAACCCCGGCTGCTGGTTCCTCTTGTCTGTGCCCGCGAAGGCATGATCTCCTCGACAAAGTTCCTGTTCAGTGAAATAGCAGGTACCTTCCGACCAGATTGCAGATGGTAGTCAGACTTATGGAGACTCTGGCTCCACCATAAGCGGCGGTCAAACAAAAAACATGCATGACAAACATGTAATCCGTATCCATTACCGACAGCAGGTGTTCGGGGCATGTCAAGTGCTTTTCGTCGCTCTTCTAACATGACATCGAACGATGTTTGGACGACATATGCCCCTTTTACCGTCCTGTAATCCCTGACCGCGCAAAGCTACCACAGGTCGTTTTCCACGAACTGAAATCTGTCATTTACCGTAGTTCTCTGAGGAAATTCGTACAATCATCATTGGGAGCGCAGCAGGGTTAGATGAGTGCAGTAATATTGAAGGTGAGAAGGGCCAATTTCATTTTAAGTAGTCAGACTCGTCAAAAGCCTCATTTAGCCCAAAAAATAGAGCGCTTTTGTGTAACTCTTATGCACTGAACTATAATTATAATGTATCCTATTTTATTTGAATTGAACTGGTTCAGCTCTGGGGAAATGCTGCCTGACCACCTTTACCATCAGGCCAAAGATTTGATTGGCTGCTGCTCCTTGTAGAATAATTAGCGGCATGGTCTTTCATTGAAGTGTTTATTCGTCATCATTAGCTCATCATCGTCGCTTTGAACAGCAGTCTATGGGACGATGTGACCTCAGCTGCTTCAAATGACATCAAAAAGCTAAATCCCGAAACTGGAAATTACATCACACCAGAAATGTAGGCAGCTATGCAAATCCTAAAAAGTAGGCCGAAAACACTTTGCCGTCAATTTTCAAGCATGATAACACTTTCCACTTGAACGCCCTTGGCCCCGACACTTCCAAGTTTGTATGCTGTCCTGCAGTGAACCATAATTCCTTACAGCACAGCTGCCATTTCGACCCCTAGGCAGAGGCTCACCCAACGCTGAATTGATACCAAATAAAAGCAGGAAATAAGGAGGTAGATAGGTCCAGTTCTTTTTCTTTCCTAACTTCCCGAACTTTCTAGACCGTCGCGTTTTCTCAGGCAACGTTAAATTGAGAATCAATTCCCTTTAGCAGCAGATGATCAGATTCAAGAAAGAGCAATGAAAAGCGAAGTTTTCAGCGGTCCACAACTCAATACCTCCGCGAGTCATAAGGTCATACATCAAAAGATCTCGTCATTGGTGCTATTTCGAGTTTAAAAATGTTGACGAAAAAGATAGAACGCATTTTTTTGTACAGAATGGAGGATGCTCCGCCCTTCTGAAAGCTTAAACCAGTACTATGGATGTAGACTGAATTTTTTAAAAACACCTACTTCTCAGGTATCATTTCCACACGTGATCGCGCTAGTGTAAAACTCAACAAAATCCCTCACGTTGTGAGGTATCTGTAGAAGAAAGAAATTCAGAGCTTCAGACATCCAAACACCCTCGAGACTTCGATCAGATGGCAAGCAAGTCACCTGGTTCTAGCACATTTTCGTATTACAAGCGCAAAACAATAAGAAGCAGTAGCATAAAGGCGACCCACACAGTAATCACTGCTGTCGGAAACTGTGTAGAGTGTAGAGACTTCCCACACTGTAGGGAATCTAGCTTATGCTTGTTTCTTGCATGTTTCTAGCGAGCTTCGATGCTCGCCTATAACCCCAGAGCGAAAAGGNAGGTTTTTTGACCATTATGGAAGAAGCAAATTGCTCACACAATTAGCATTTCCTTCACTGAAATTTCTAGTTTTAAGGCCATTATCTTACCCTTCCATCAACAGTCACACGTAATGCCCAACAAATTGACAGAATAAAAGTGCTTGTTTACAAGCCTCTACAGTTGTGTCATGCCTCATCAGTATTCCTTGAATTTCCTGTATTCTTATAAGATGAAAGAAACCGTCTTCAGTCAGCTCTTATTCCTTTGATTACTTTCCGTGATACTGCCATCGCTATGAAAAAACCTGACCTGATCCATGGTTCTGCACGAATGTTACTACGGAGTGCTAGCCTACCCCCGCCACCCTCCTTATTTCTAACGTTTCGGAATCGCGTGCTGTTTCCACTCTCGCTCGTTCGCTATTCAGTGCTAATTACACGTCACAATATCCAAAAGCGCTATTCAGCCAGTGACCTCTACCTCATTTCGTGTTTTAATCTTCTGAGTTGTACGAGTGGCTTATCATTTCTCAAGCTCGGAAGGGGAACTTCACAAAACACCGAATTCGATCATTCGTGATCTCACTCGAAAAGTATCAAACGAAAATCTGCCGGCTACTGCAAACGCCGAGGTTTTAGCTTGCCCATGACACCTCTAAAAGGTCGAGTGCCTCCAAAAAAGGAACCTTCTCCACGCATGCCCGTTCTTTTTAAAGGCCGTACACCAATCGAGCAGACAACTCGTCGCTCCACTGGTGAAGCGGAAAAAGTCAGACAATCCGTAAGCGTTTCCTCTCAATGCCATTTGGGCTACCTGACATTTCCTCACTAAAGAGAGCAGTAAACGGTATTAGGTAGACTACACCACATCTCCGTAGCTCAGCAAATCAATGAAAAATCGGCTTATACCATGTATGTAACCCATATTCCGTTGATATATCAGGAAACGAGTGGATCCGAAATTGTATTAGCAAACCTATGAAATTCACCATCTAAGACTTATGGAGGTTCAAATGTGACTAGCAAGAAAAAACAGCCAACCAATTCGGCCCAGAATTCGCTTAGCCACAACCACCGTATTTCTAATAGAAAAAATGTTTCTGGTTTAAAAAATCGTTATCCTTAACTAAGTCGCTGTGCCCGATTTCGGTGAGTATAACCTAGTATTGAAGCTATTTGTCATGAGACAACAAGAACGGTTCAATGAACGGTGTCTTTCCTTTTGTTTTGGCCATCTAACCATTCAAATCGCCGGCTGCAAACAGCGATTGCACGGATGAATTATTAAGGATTTGTCCACGATCAGCCCCAACACTTTGTAGAACGACGTGCCTTCTGCCAACCGCAGTAAATGTGCGACGAGCGGAAAAGTAACGTCACTAGATGAGTAGACTTTAGTACGTCTTATGCCTCAAACTATCCGCCACAGTATGACACTTAGAGGATCGTCACAAAAGAGTTACAGAAAATTACATCGTTTGTGAGCACTCATCGTTTATTTGCCGTTGCTGGGAACGCCGACAGCGGAAACAACGACGAGCTTTGACGATTACAACGGAAAAGTTTCATCAAAAACTGGAAGGTGGAGCCGAGCGACAAGGTCCCGATGGAGAAGTCGGGATGGAAGAACTACCGGGTCAGTGTTCATGTATGATATCGTCGCTTCAGTTACTTGATAGTAGGGACAATATAACCCACAAGAAGGTGGTCCAATGTCCGATGCCCAATAGGGTAGAATACAATCAGATCAACCGAGAGCATAGGAAACTCATTTATTCACCAGTCTGAATGGACCATGCGAACAAGTCCACTTCCATTCATACACTTGTAGAGCAGCGCCTACAAATTGCCAACCGTTCACAATAACTATCCGAGAATTCAGCAAGTCATATAGGTCGCGCGAGGTGTGAAACGCGTAATGACACCGACAGCGGGTACCAATCGCCTCGTTAAACTCCACTCTCCGTGTTCGCAGTTCGGGTTCTGAAATTGCACAAAGGCCAGTTCACACCAGCCTTCACTTACCGTATCCAATGAAATACCCTCAACGAACGAGTTCTTCACATCGTTCATGGGATCGGCTGCAATCACGCTTTCGCACAATACGTTTGCTGGAATTTCGGTTCATTGATGAAGGGCCTTCATAACGAAATAGCCTGGTTGATGGCATGATTCATCAGCTTCGCAAAATAGATGATTCTCTCGAAATATTAGGAGAATCAACCCAATTTATAAAAACCTATCTGGAAGATAGGAAACCTAACAAACAGATGCTGTACTCGTTTCTAAGAACACTGCAAGAAGAACCGTCTGGTCTTGTTCACAGACCGCTTCTGGCCATCCCCAGCTTCTCAAACTTCATGAACAGTGCTTGAGAGTGCCAACATCCTACTCAGCAACGTTAGGTTCGCTTAACCTACGGATGTCAGCAATCAAAAGTCTCGTCATTCACACTCTAGCGATTAGGGGACAGCATAAACTCCAATATGGATAAGTGGAAAAGCAGTTTTCCGGGTTCAGAGTTTTCAATCGAAGAATCCCCGTTTGAGAAGTCCGCCTAGAAACAGCTAAGATATTTAGTCAAATACATTACCCTCATAGTGACTTGCCACAATACGGTAGCCGAGCGCAACTCCTTTCACACTTGCCTGCCAACCTTTTGCCCTCGCTCGGCGGAAGGTCAATATCGAGGGAGCGGCAAAGACACGCCGCCAGGTGACCTTATACATTCACAATCAAAGACGATCATTTGTTAATAGGTCAGCACAAACAACAAAAAAGAGCTAATTAGTTCCCGATTCAATAAGTTACAACTTCCAGAACTATTCACAAAGTAATTCATCGCGCTCCTTCTGCTACCTTTAGCTCAGAAAATCCCACGACCTTAACACTTAATAGATCGACACATCGAGAATTCGCGCATCGTGAAAATTTAATGCCATAGTCACATCCTGCGTGCATATGACCACCGCAATGGACTCATGGCTAGCCCTGGCCCACACTTATCGACTCATCGACTGGATGAGAAATTCTGTAGAAGAAGAAAAAGCGAGATCAAGGGGGACACTTCGTTTTTCCATCTCAAGAATATGCAGTGAAACATGAGTTGGCGAAAAAAAATGGAAATTAATAACCATCTCCAGCTGCCGTCTTCCATCATACTTTTTGAAGCAAATAGCTCATTAAGCTAGTCATAATGTAATTATCAACTGAACTGCATCAAGTCGAAAAACAAGACTTGGTTGCCCTCGCGCTCCGATGAGCTGACTCATTGGTTTTTGTAGACTGCAAGTCCTTGCAACTATACAGACGGCATCATGAGAGAGCTGATCCTCCGTGACATATTGTATTGAAGAAATATGTCCGCTGCTGACATACGTCACATATTCATCACCTCCTACTGCGTTCGGTCGTAACAATCCACCGGATAATCTACGCTAATTAATCAAGCAAGGCTGTCAAGGAAGGTGAGGCCTGCTGCATCAATGCAGCAGTTAGCAGCCGCCTTACTGCGAAAACAAAATACCTGTCAATAAAGAACTTTTTCTAGTTAAACGTCTTGGCAGAAGCCTCGAAGTGGTTCCAACAGCCATTACTCTTACGGCTTTTAATCAGCTTTTCAGCAAAGTTCATGGCTATGAACTCAACTAGTAGCTTCACACTGTATGGAGCACTGCACATTGCATCCACCCCGACTAGGTGCCCGCCATTTGGTCGTGAAATTAATTCACTACAGTGTTTTTGGTCGTGCATCACACTTTTCTGACAAGCTAGGCCCAAGCGCTCGAGTGGTGCGATGATCAGGTAAAAATAACTAGAATCTCTAATTATTACAGGCTCGCCTACAAGCCCATCACGATCACCCATCCATCACGGTCAGCCAGAGACAAACGACTTGGATGACCATGCACTTGTGCTTAAAGCTATGCCGATCCTCCCCAAGGGATGGGATAGATTACGTGGAATGACCAGCGGCAGAACACTGCGCTGTTCAAAGCGGATGATTCATCAGAGATGCCCTTAGATAACGCATTAGGCTGCCGGAAACAATTCGACCAATGCTTTTGGCAACGGCTCTCATACATATGCATTCGGCATGCATAGAAAATGACATTTTCGATTTAATACCCTACAAGCAACCTGAATTCGGCAACCAATCTGCTCAAAAACACCCTAGCTTTCAACGTTCCGATAGGTGCATTTAAAATCCCACTGGATTTCCAGCAAAGCGCCCTAATGTCGCGTAACCTAGATCTGTCTCGTAGCTATTCAAAGATGTCAGCTGAAAAAACACTGAATTCAGCTGTGATCATCTAAATACCCCCTTCTGACAGCCATTAGAGGATTTACCCACCGCAGGTGGTTGCCGTCATCGGAAATCGCCGTTAGGGTCATGACATCGCTCGAGTTACTCTTCGTGGATCGCCATCCACCTGTGCTTAATCGTAGGGAATGGAATGAGGGAGTATTCCTTGACCCAACCACCATATGCCGAAGGAACACACCAATTATGCATCCTCGCCTGCCTGGAAGTATAGCTTGAGACCACAGGATTAGCTTGAGTGCTTAACGATGTTTAGAAGAAGTTTGCAAAAACCCAAAGTATTCTTCTTCTAATTGCTCCAAGACTACCAATTCCTTCAACAGCTGGTAGTACTACGAATTTAGCTTAACGCACTTTTTTGGGTGTGCTCAATTCTAATACTGCTATTCACTTCACTTGCAGTGTGAATTAGGAATCAAATGCAAGATCTCGCATTTGTTTGCCATCCTTGAATTCTGCATCTTTGCCTTCTTTCAGTTTTCGTTGCGGGATATCTAATGTCATCCAGCTTGAAGATGTTTGTTCATCTTCGATTATACATCCAATAGTCTGTGTAATCGCCTACCCTTTGACCACGCCCCTTGGCAGTGCGATGCCACGCCTTCCCACCCAGCCGCCATTTTAGCTATCGTCCAAAAGCAGCTCAGCCGCATGGAAACAATACTATTGTTATTACTGCTACTATTGACCGACACCGTTTATGGAGTCACCGAATGCCCACGTGAGTGCGAATGTGATGCGATACCGCCGAACAACTCCTCGTGGGCGGTTTATTGTCATCGCGGTGGCCTCAACGATTCTCTTTTTGCTGATATTTTGAATCGACTTCCTTCATCGCTGAAACTACTAGATGTCTACGCTCCTAGATGGCGTCCTCCTAACAAATTCAAATGGAGCGATAACCTGAACAGGTTCAGCCAACTGAAGCATCTTCGCCTAGTGAGGTGCGGTATTCCTGCGATGAGTAGAAGCACAAGACTTCCTTCCTTAGAATTACTCGATCTCCAAGAAAACCAAATAGAGCATGCTACCATGGGCAACTTCGGAGGAATGACTAATCTGCGGTTTCTAGACCTGAGCCACAATCGTCTTAGCATCCTTCCAACTGGAGTATTCACTTTCTTGCACAATCTGAAGTCCCTGTCTCTTGCGAATAACACGATAACGGAACTGTCTGCGAACCTTCTTCGCGGTCTCCGAACACTCAAGTCATTACGGCTTGACGGCAACCGCATTCCGATCAAGCAAATCAATGACCTCTTTGCTGACGTTCCCCAGCTAGACGAGCTGCATCTGAATGACTGTCGACTATCCAGTATCGCCAATCTGTCATTGAACGACGTTCCGCAATTACGTCATCTCGGACTGGCTAATAACAATCTGCGCACGATACCCACTCACGAGTTACGACAACTGGCACATTTGGCCGTGCTTGACCTCAGCGGAAATGACCTTGCCGAGGTTGGAGCATGCGCTTTTTGCTCCAACAACATATCCAGGCTCGATCTTTCCCATAATCGGCTGGGTCTGCAAAAGGAGCCTTTTCATGTCGATGCGTTCCGAAATATGCCTCTAACAGAGCTAGACATTTCTTTCAACCATTTGGATGAGTTTCAGTCCAGCTCGCTTGGATGGGCTCAGGAGACTATCCGTACGTTAAATGTAGCCGGCAACTCACTTGGAGGTAGGGCTTCACTGAAAGCTTGGCAATTTTGTTTTAGTCACTCGCTATCATCCATGTTCTATTATGTGGTCTTTTATATTTGTCTTTTCCGTATTCTGCCTGTCTATGAACAGAACCATCGAAGAGCCCAGAAATTTTTTGCATTTATAAAAAAAATTGACATGGAATAAAAGTGCACACTCAACCCCAGTATATCAATTTGTTTGCGTAGGTATTTCTTCACATAACGATTTCAGGCTTTCATCCGAGCATCACGGCCACGCTACCTTCTCTGCACACTCTCAACATGGCTTATAACAATATTGATAATATTCCATTGGTTTTACCTCCTCAGTTTTATCACCTAATATTTCTGAATATCTCTGGAAATTTGCTCAGCTACCTACCCGACAATCTACACTACCTACTGCCCAACTTGAAGGTAAGTAACTGAAGCTTCCAAAAACACCAATTCGAATTNNACTTAAGAGATCTATTTGTAGAAACACTGCACAATGTAACTGACTAGCTCCATAGCTTTCACAATCCATATTCACTATCAAAGAGCTATTTCGATCTGGGTGCCCTCTTATATTTGCATAGGCGAGCGAATGCTTCCCAAACGATGAAATGCAAATGAGATTGAAAGCATCTAGTGTGAAAATGACCCTCCATTCAAACCTTGGGCCATGAAACATGGAATTTCTGTTCAATTGGAACCTCCAATGTAATTAATAGGGCAAGAAACTACCTGGAACTGGTGCACACCCTCGGTTATGCAGCGAGGCTGACGTCTCAAGCCAATTATTACGATGTCCAGAATCATCACATGCAATATCAATTTTTGCTTTTGTCAATTACCCATTAAGAAGTGTGGACCTTTGGAAAATCATTCTAATTCAGGAACTGGACATCTCCAACAACGATTTCTCAACACTCTCACTGGCTGCTAGCAACTACATTGACCAGCTGGAAAGAGTGCACCTCGGGGGCAATCCGTGGGACTGTTCCTGCTCCATTCAACATATCCAGCAACACATGCGCGATCGCTATGCAATGAGACATATTCTTCGATATCACGACGCTCGATGCGCGGAGCCTGCCCTCGTCAAGGGACAACCCTTGCTCAGTGTCACCGATGTAAGTATGCAAATGTATGTCATGAGAAACGAGAACATTAGAACTGCTAACATCCCGAATGAATGACTGCGTTTATTTGCATTCATTGTTACAGCTTGTGCTAACCTAGGAATTCGCTTGCTGAATACTTTCTGAGTACTGTATAAGTAATACGTCATTTCAGATCAACGAATGTGCGGTGCTCTTCGGTGCTCGATATGGTCTTTCTCAGACGAGCGAGCTATTCATTCTGCTGGCAGCACTACTCTCAGCTGCCATAGTGCTGTCCATATTGCTGATCGGTTTGTACTTTCTCAGAGAACGACAATATAAAGGTTCCTACGTGACACGGGAACATTCCCGAACACCACTCACAATGGCCCACCATATCAGCTGCTCATCGAGTACAAGTGGAGCAAGCGAACCGCTAACCCCACCAGTGCCACCACCTCCACCAAAGGCAACGGCTACCTACTTTGGTATATAATTAACTTCTTCCAGCCTTTCCTTAGCTTAAGAATTCATCTATCTCGTATGTAAAATTCTAGAGAGCATAGCTACTGTCATTATTTTTGACAATAAGGGTAAATTGCGTACATATTTCATGCCTATCTCTTCATTCCTGTTGAACTTTCAACTTTGTCGCCTTGATTTCAAGGATTTATATTTTCTTTTTCCATGCTGTCCACGATCAACCCGATGCTCAATTCTCGTTCAGAGTTATCCTTTCTTGTCACTTGCTCTTCTAACTCATCTTCGTCAAATTTTGGATGGGGCATAATCTCACTACCGATGATCTCATTCATAATTGTCCCGTTCCCCTTTGAGATCATCCCGTCATCCTCCCTCACTCCAGTCATTCCCAAACTCTCAAAGCGCGGTGTTTGTATTGTTTAGAACTACTAAACAGTTTGCTGTACATATTGTAATAAATATTAATAAGTATTCAATTATGTTTGCTTATAGTAAACGGTGTTTGTGGGGAACCCGGCCAAAGGAAAATTCATTTGCATAAGTGATAATGGGAAAGTGCAACACGTTCATGCATAATGAAATCTGTTGTCGTATGCAGGTGAAACTGACAGCCTCCATCGACTTAACTTCTACTATTTACTCACCAATTCATAGTAAAAGCCACACTTCTTGGGGCTATTTCCGTCGATAAATTCTCTTGATGGTTAGCAAAATCCGTCGTAAGTCAGCATGGAAACATCCACCTCTGATAGTGATAAACCTAATGGCAATGACATCCTCTTTGCAGATCATGACTTAGGATAAACGTAGATTCCTAAAACACTCGGGACTGGTTCATCGTACGTGTCTTACAAGTACGCCTTCAGTCAAAAGAAACATGGACTATTTTCAAGAAACTGGGGAAACAAAAAGATGTTCTGTGAGATGGGCTCAGACTTTAGTCAGTTCTTAATACTAGTAAACTTAGAAAACATCTTCTATGCCTAAATAGTTGACCATGATGCATTACCGAGTCCTCACCGACCCTAAATTGTTTCTTTCCATGAAGCTCTACCTCCTGACAAACCATGGGTGTGGGAACTTAAGTCGACTATTGAGTTTTTGCACCTTATTATTGTCATTTCACACATAGGTACAGAAGAACTTAATAATGAAATATTAAAGTAATTAGTCAATAAGTAACAGATGTTTATGTAGCAGCCGTTGGAATTTATTCCCGTACACAACAAAATTAATTTGTTGCATTTGCAATAAGCAGCTCTTTAGTCATGCACAGATAAGAACAAAGCAGCTTTAACTTTTTCAAGCATAAACAAAAACTCTGAACAAACAACTATAAGAAAAGCTCAGACTGTTTTGTTCGCTACGGATTTGAATATCTTAATGGCCAATTACGTCGATTCTTTAAGGCTTGCTTGAAATCACAGATGAGCGATGAATCACATCGCTACTTATGCTACATTTCATCCGGACACGAAAGTCAGATGTTCAACCAGTGACGTAGAAATCATTCTTGCCAAAATCCAACTCTCCTTGTAGGATTCACTTTCTCATTTTCTCCAGCCTCTTCAATTATTTACCTATTTTTCACCCACTAAGGATAGACAGACGGTATAACAATCATGGAATTTTCACAGTATCCTGGCATCTGAAAGCGAAGTGATCCCAGCTATGTGGGAAGACTCGATGAACCCAAGTTCGCACACCCACAGAACATAAAGACCATAAAAAATCAAAGCAACATGGCGAAATTCTAGAACAAGAAACCCCTTACAACAAAGTGTCGAGTCGTGCCCTCCTCGATAATGATTAATGGTTCACGGCCAATAAGGCTCTCTCATGCACATGAATCTTTGAAGTGGCAGCTGTATTGTAAATTCGGATAGTCACGACAATAGGATTTCTGATGGCAGAAAGCACCACACGTTGAGGATTACTCCCTGTCCCCAACGTTTGCCGCAAAGGAAATTACGAAGAGGTCAATATTTTCGAAACACTTAGACAGATTACTAGAACCTGCCTGGTATGATTTTGAATTTTCGACTCACCAAAACGAAGGGATAACTTTTACGGTCACAGAAGGATGTACGCTTTCGAGTAAATCGTCAATGACTAAGTGAACCATCTGAGAATCTCGCTTACTTGCTCTCACTTTGCAAGATAAAAACAGTAAAAAAGGAAAGTTGGCACGTACTTCTAAGGAAATATCATTTATTTTGTAATGTCCATTTTGAGGGTGAACCTGTAGAGAGGGGAAACTCAAGCAGTAGCCCGCAACACCACAACCTGCTATCCATTAGGAGAAAACAAAAACGCTTGTCAGTGCACAAGCAGGTCCCACTGCAAAATAAAAAACTTGAAGTTGACAAAATGGCTTCGATTTAATTGAATTTGAAGAGCATCTTCAATTAAATCGAAGCCATTTGGTCAACAGCCTCATAACTCACGCTCACTCAACTCATTTTATTGACAAAAAAGAACTGATTGCACTACCGTCAACCCCTCCAGGCAAGGAGAACTCAATTTCCGAGGCCCCAATTACTCTTATATAAACAAAACTTCTTAATGAACTTCAAGAGATCCTCTTGCCATTAACTCGTTATTTCAAAGCGAAAGATATATTGGCAGGTGCCGACACGAAAGTTCTTCGATGAAAAATTCGAAGCTGCAAAAACTTTGTGGAAGCAATGTGAACAGGATAGCAAGGGTGATAAACTTCTAGAATATTCCCAAGGCAAACAACAAATGAGTAAACAAGTGCAAGTGCGAGGCTTTCGCAACTTTACTTTCAATGTTTCTACTACGCATGCCAAGAGGAAAACGCGAATCCAGCAGCAGAAATTACCAGCAAACGCTGAAAGCACTGTTCATATCAACGGTCAAAACTGCTTGAAGCGCTTCACTGCAGGGAGGCCCCAATCTCCCGTGGCACTTGACCAATGTGGTGAGAAAAATACCTCGAAAACCATCACTCAGGTTCCTATAGAACTACAACACACTGAAATTTCGCTTTAGAAATCCGTCAAAATCCAGACCGGCTTCGCTTGGTTCTGGGTTGTTCATCAATCGCACCCTCGGAACGTTTCCCTTTCTAAATGCCATCTACTCCACCTTCTCAAGCACCACTATACCCCTGGTGTGTATAATCCTGGAATTTGACTATTTTGGGAAATTCTAAAATAAATTCAAATTAAATGTCTTCCTGTCGAGGAGCTTTTGCGCAAGCTAATAAATCGTGAGGATAACGCTGAGTGACAATTGTTGCAACCACATTTCTCCAGTCCACTAATTCAGCAGTGAAATTTCGTGGAGGGCTACTAGAAGAGAACAGGGCACTACAGAAATGGCTTGAACCCAGAAAAACTAAATCATCTGCCTTGCAGAGTCTATTAGCTTCATTTCTAGCGCGCAATACCGCTTAAAAAAAAACTCGTCTTCGATTTGGAATTGGATGGCCCTTGTAAGACGGTGGAAATCATCGATGCCATTTTATTGTATTGCTGAAGAGACGGGCATACTCTTTGCTCCGTGTGAACAATGCCAACACCGACCGCTTTCTGCTACATAATACACTCGAGAAAATGAAAAGAAAGGTTCCAAGACAACTAAAAAAGCCGACAGCGCCGTACTTTGCACACTGTGCTTTACTGCTTCCCAACTATTTCACTACTGAAGGATGGAAAACTAAAAGAGGGTAGAGACCGGAGAAATATTAAAAGATATTGTCACTAGTGAAGGTCATTCCTTTCCGGGAGGATATGAGTACTCCTTTAATGGTTCCACTTTTCTGTAACGTCTGACCTTACCTATTCATTGACTTGTGACATAATCTAGCCATAAGTCCTCGATATTGCCTCACCTGATCCTTCTCATTAGCCACTGCATACCGCTCAGCAGCCTCCTGTTCTCCCCCCATTTACACCTCTCACCTGCGCATCAATCTAATTGAACCGAGCACAAAGCGCATAAGTCATCCAATTAATATCCGTGTCAGGCAGGGCTTTTACGAGAATCAAGGTACTCGGGTTCCGGGAAGAGGCTCAGTTTTTCTAAACTGAGCTCTTTCCTGAGACATGAACCGGAGATGGAAAAGACTACAGCAGATTTTCAACTCCAACAAAGCTATTGATGCTACCGAATTTGTTCTTTTTCTGTTTCAGACGCTTATTTCACTAAAGTCCAACGAATTGCACTTTCAAGTTTTACAAATTCGTTCCGAGGCGGCGAACGCAGCATCGAGTTCAAAAAAGGTGTAAATGTAGGTAACTAGAGCTAAATCGCCCACGTCCATCCACTTTGCATTTCTATCCTTTTCCTGTTGAAGAGAAATTACTTGTTCGCCACTGAAGAAGCCCCGCATCCATTTAACAACCATTAAACACTCCTTCAAGTCCCAACCACCTCAAAGTTACACTTCTATGAAACGAGGTCTTAGTGACTCTGCTGTTCCGGGGAAGCATTTTTCGTAGTCAACGCGTCAAGCTCTGCCAAAAATAGCTGGCAAGTTTGAAACTCACTAAATAGGCCGTAATTTAATTTTTTGGTGGAACCTATAAAGAGGTCACTCGGAAGCGGAATCAGAGCAAAAGTACCAGTGTATTAGAAACTAGAATATCAACCAAGAACTGCTTGGCCAACATACCCGAGCATAACCAAAGCTTTTCCTCAGCAACTAAACAGATAAGACTCATAGAATCATACCTATCTAGTTGCTGAGGAAAAAGAATCTAGGACAACGCACTATTCTGCACCACTCTGGCAAACAATGGTCCGGCACCTCCTTTACAACTATTCATCAAGCCGTAAGGTTTGCGTTCCACTTTCCAACTGTCAGAAGCTGTCAGAAGTACGCCCTTGCCAGCCTGAGGTGTCACTGAAGAAATAATAAATGACTCTCGGGTAGAGCTACGACCTTTGGGTGCAGCTGTGGTAAATCACAACAGGTAGACATAAATGAATAGGTGTGCCATAGCAGAGCATTACGACGAGGCTCCTGGACGAATAGCGCTCAATCAGCGCTGCTGGTCCGTGATATTTTCACTTGAAAAACCAAACAATTTCTACATTCCGATATAACCTTATACGATAAATACTTTACAGGTAATCTTTGATATGTACTATGTAGGGCTACTAGGGTTCAGAAGCATCTGAAACTCTTCACTACGGTTCATTCCCTCTTGCAGTAGTCCTTCAAGGGGGGCAACATTTTAAGTTAGCGACCTTTCCAAGATACCTGGCTCCCTCGGATAATCCCCCGGACCGGATACCTGGCAGATTTTTTCAAATTCCTAGATTATATCATATTCGCAAGCGCATAAATTACAGAAAGCAGGTTCTTCCTTAAGTTCAATTGACAATCGTAATATCCAAGTTAGACATTGGAGATTCAAATTAGTCAAGTATTCCCGTCATCGTCGATTTCAGTGACTACTTGTCAATGTGTTCGCATTTTATCATATTCTACTCTAATCTGGTTGTTTCGTTCGAGCGAGGGTTCCCCAGGGTGCCATTGTTCTGAAAGTGGAAGGCCGCACGCTAGCTCCATCAACTTTCTCGGCTCTAAAAAGTTGGCCATACACGCCGTGATGAGCACACCCGCAATGAATTTACGGGACCACAAAACCACTTCAGCCATCCTTGCTCCTTGGAAACGCGTCTTCAGAAAAATTATGGCATGCTACCTCTAGGCAAGAGCTAGTACAATGTTCTGATGATCCAAATAAAAAGTTCTTCTGTTCAGTTCAGCTCATGTCTTTAATTTGCTGTTGAAAAAAGTGACCCAGTGAAGGAGAGCTAACATTTGCTAACATATTCAACAGCTTATTCAAAATTTTGAGATTGGATAATTTCAAATGTTTCTACAACAAAATTGACTTTCGCAGTCGGAAAAAACTGTTCGAACCACTTCGACTAAAAGGTTTTTGATGTGACAAATGAACCGTATTCTGCCACAACTCGAATGAAGTTTCCAAAAAACGGAAACCAGGTCAAATCACAGTCAACTGCAACTTTTAATGATAGATTCTATTCACATCTACACGCTACATGGCAGAAGACAGCTCTAAAGCACCTTCGATGAAATATGCACTTCTCCGTCTTCTGCGCTCCATGACAAAGTACATTCATTCACAACGGAGATGGGATCAGGTTTAGAAACACACAAAATTGCGACAACCACGTTTTCAAGAAAAACGGTGACGCAAAAGAATGGGTTCTCCCTGCTGAATGTCTATTCCATGCCAAAGCAAGAAAGATGAATTTTAAGCGTTAGGCCGAATTTGTACTGGTCTTTTCTGTGGATACAAAGTTGGTCAACAATTACCAAGAGAATTAAAATAGTTTCCAACAGACCTTCTGAGAACGCTCATGTGCATTCATATTACTCAATAGAAAGAACGTTTTTTCTTCTTTAATGCAACCGAAGACCTACAAGTCAACCCCTACGGCCCCGCAAATAGTGCCATTTGTTATATGACCGCCCCTCTTCCACACAAATCCACAAGGTCCTTGTATCCATGTTCGATCTTTGCCTCCGCCCGGAGGCTCAAATCCAATTCGACAACCCAATCATTGCAGAAATTGAGATCTGCTCATGCAACCGTTGCGTTCAACGCTTCGACAAAACAGAAGAGAAAAACGTTTCAGATGTCGAAAAGCTGATGCGGCACTTTTTGAGCAGCACTGAAAAATTCAAAGAGCCACCAGAAGCACCACAACCGCGGCCAGTTTTAGATTAGTAAGATACGGAAAATTGGATTCTACATACAACGAAGACAATATTGCCGGAATTAATGTACAACCAGCACTACAACTACCGGCAATAGGTTGTAAAGGCGATGAGGGGCGACTAGCGACTTACCACTGGTGCACCTACTATCCATAATGCTCTTCTCCTATAAGCTACTCAACATAATACCTATAGGTATAAGGAGAACCAGAGCATTAGAATATGGGAAGTCGTTAGAAGGCAGTAAGTACTCGGAGCACTTTGAAGCCTAATTTTCCACCTTTGAAAGAAATCCTGACCAACACATTGTGAAGGAATGTTTGCGTCAAAGAAGCATCTTCAACGAGTAGAGGCTAGACAAAAATGAACTAATGGATTTCGAAAATTCGAAAAGAACAAATTTTTAGCACCCTACCAAGACCATACTTGCGTCGGATATAAAGCGTTCTGAATGGAGTTTACACTGGATTCAATCGTGTAATTCGAAACTATGGGTTGAATGAGTACCAGATGGAAATTCTTGAGAAGGAAGGTAAAACAAGAAAACAAAAGCAGCTGACAGCAAGCTGGTGAGAAAAAACGTTCGGCGGTGAGTATTACTCACAATCAGTGCATAAACCTTTCTTCGCTTTTTCTCAGTCATAGCCGTAACCTAGTTTTGAGTATAATCCCAACCGTGATAATATAAAAGAAATAGAGAAGAAAAAACTCACCAATCCCATAGAAAAGTAGTTGAAAAAGAAGTGAGGCTGCGGACTGAGCGTCTCCTTACATCCCCCGCGATGAATCGACATCTTGTCCTCAGACTTGTAGAACACCTTTGATGGCGCTCCGAGTGCTGATAACACTCTCTGTAAACGTTTCCATTTGAAAACATTAATCACTAAAGAATATTGAATGATCTGCTGCTCTGAACGACTGTTACTGCGGCACCGCACAGTAAGGTAAAAAAAANAAAAAAAACCTATGAAATAGTCTATAAGCTAGTTTATTCAATACAGCGCAATTTGAAGCACACGCTACTGAACTGTATCTGAGGAAAGTTTGTTATAACTCATGTAAATGAGCGGCTTTCCTAGTTCCTCAACAGGCGAAGCGCTGAGCGCGTCAACTTTCCTATCTTTTTTCCAAAATAGGCCAGAACTCCATGAACCTCAGAGCTTTCAGGCAAAGTAGTCCATTAACCGCTTCTGTTGTTACGATGCAACCTCTCGATGACGATTTAACTTTACCTTTCATTCAAATTGGAAACCTTTCAACCTTTTTGTTGTTCCTCATTAGTGGCCCTATAAGAGGACCCAGAAAAACTTGCAACAATGATAACCTCACATCACTGCTGATAGCGAGTTTTTGATGTTGAACATCTCAACTGTAGAAAAAGTCTCAACCCGGTTGGGATATGCTAGGTAAGCAAAGGAGTTGTTCTTTCCAAATGATGATCGATATGACATTTCTGTTCACAAAATTTCACACTAGCAGAGTTAAGAAGAATTATTCCGAAACACTCATTTGTCTCGGTGAATAGAGGGGAACTAGAAGAAGCAGGATCACCCGAAGGGAAATTTGTTAGGACTTTCTATGAAGAACTCATGATGTTGACACTTTTATTAGAGAAACGTGGAACAGTTCCGTCGAGTAGATGCACTCAAAAAAAAAAAAAAGGAATTCGATCATTATCGATAGTCGGTGGAAACTGTCCACTCCTGCGAGAAGGATGTTTATGGGGCTGTTAAGGGAAACCTGCTCGCCCTGTGACACATGGATCTATTGTGATGCTTATAAATGCTCTAGGTTATTTTAAGAGAAGTCCGTTTTTCAGAAGCAATGGGACGTGCATTCGTGCGCAGCTAGCACCAGTGAACAAGTAGCCATTGCTCAATGCCCTTTTCAATGGTTGACCATCATACCTGGGAAAAAAATATGCGCGAAGTACTGCACGCATGCTGATTAGTAACCGAACAGGGATTCAAGTTAGACATTCAACATTTGAGACGTTAGGTTTCAAATGAGTATTATAACGATTAATAATGTATTAATTCTTACAGCCACGGAATCCCCAAACGATATTGTTCGCATCACCTTGACCAATTCGAGCTCGCCGTTGATACGAGATGTAACATTGCCATCTGAATTGAGACAACAAGATTGATATTGGTGTTGCCTCCATGATTTAAGATTGAAACCTACTCTGTGTTTGAAATAGAACATCCACACCAGTTATTTTTCCATTCTTCCTAGCACATGATACCAGAATGGTTCGATTTTGACCACAGTACGCAGCAAGGGGCATTGTGACTTCCCTAAAATGCATCAAGCGTTGAAAGAATCATAACACATTTACTATGATGAAGACGCTAGTTCTATGTCCGGTGTCATTCTTGGCCTCAACTAACAATTAAGCTCTTAAAAATTCGAAGAACCATGTCTGGCTTCGTTTAGACAATGAAATGAAGGATGCTTCCAGGAACACATGTAAAAGTTTAACGCTAATTTCTGCAGAAGTGTCATGATTTCAGATTTTATAGAGTCTTTTTGAAGAAAAACCTCCTTCTAAACCCTTGAATACTCAAAACCAGATTTTTCTAATCTAGTTCTGGGTCTGCAGCTATGCATGAAAGTTCAGAGATGTCAGCAAAAGTAGCTCTAATGATAAGGACAGATTTCTTCATAACGGTTAGTTTTCTCAGTTTCATACTGCTTCAGTGCTATGATAGTTTCATCCTGCTTAGACGACTTGATTTTGAATGAGAATATTGTCAAAAAAGAACGTTGAGCACAAAACTGGAAAAACAGCCNAAAGTAGTAAACACGTATATTTCGATGTAATAGAAGATACATTGAAACCTTTAGAGATGTTCCCGGAAAAAGTTGGAAGTTTCGAGCTGGAAACGAGGGAAGTACGATAAGAAGCGATTTTAGTGGATGTAGTGATGATCAAAAGTATTAGCCTGAACTAATCTACGGAGAATTCTTTAAACTGAACACGCAGGAAATATCCGGTCGGGTGAGGATACTCATTACCAGAGGAACCAGATCTGCTCAGTAATGAAAACGGCATTCAAATAAAGGTTGCCAGACGAAACTTAATGTGGCATGCTTTCAAGAGCAAAAGCAGCACATACCAATATCGAAACAGCTTTCAGCAGCCTACAAACTTATGCAACGTCTTCAATAAATAAATAAATAAACCTCGTGCTGCCACCGCCTAATTTCTATGATTAACGGGAAGAGGGAAATAACAATGAAAAACGTCAAGTCAGCTATGGCCACGATTTTTCAATGCTCAACAAAATGCTCGCTCTCCCTCCTCAGACTGCATACAATAGGCCAAAACTACTCAATTCAGGTTCTAATTTCGTATTTCGAAAAGCGATTTTTTCGTCTGCTGTTAGTATTAAACATTAAACTTTAATAAAAATAATGTGAAGATGAGTTACTCGTTTTTCCCGACGGCAGTTCCTTTGAAGATTGACATCTTTGTGAGCCGCGGTTGCGTGGCACTATCAAACTTCAGCGATCGTAGCGGACCAAAGCCAGGCTGAAGAACACTGATGAATAACAAGGAAAGATTGCAGTGCAGTCACTTTTAAAAGCATGTACCGTAGAAACGCTAAAATGTCTCAAAATAAGAAAACACTTGTAGAAAGAGTGAAGCTCATTGGAAATAGTAGAGACCCAGTTAACGGCTCTCTCAGCATCTACCTCTTCAATCGGGAAGAAAAATTTTTGCTTTTTCAGAAAATGGGAGGGAGCCTAATTGCAGTAATGAAAAAATATGCAATGAACTTTGGAAAATAAAGGGAACGTTAATTGAATGCTTTACAAAGAACGAAAGCATGGGATTTCAAAAACATGATAACTAGCATGAAGTACTGTATGCAAAGGGGCACAAGCGGTGTTGAGCCAAATGTTGCGTTACCATTAATATAGCCCAGCTAATGCTTATCGGATACATTGTTCAGGTCAAATTCATGTATAACCTGCGATTCTGAAAGGAGCTGAATGTTAAGGTGTATCCCAGTATGTGAATGATCAATGATCACAAATTTTTCCCCTATTTGAGAGAAAAAAATATGCAAGAATTTGACACTCACGGTAACCTCGACGTTAGCACTTTCTGCAGTCGGGAAACAGAACGACAGCCCTCTCCAACTTTTGACACAGATCTTCTGTTTATCGTCATATGCTAAAAGCTTGACAGCATCATGAAGACATGCATTTGTTTCTCACTTAAAATACGATCAGAGAAAATCAGTTAGACAAACCTCCAGGATGAGTGGAACCAAAAAATTCATCGACCTTGTCCATACTAACTTCCGCACCAGGTTCCGAGAAAATCTTCTCCCTTAACCCGATACGATGATTAGAAATTTCATAAAACCACAAAAACAACAATCGCAAAAAAAGTTTCAACAATGTTAAAGCATTAACTTACAGAGTACGAAACAGAAAACAAAAGCATATGAAACCGTGACACTCACTTATACTTGAGCACAATTTGAGAAAGATTGTCGACCTCAATCAACTGCAAAATGAGGTTTGGGTAAATGGGTAATGAATCAGACCAAATGACAAGGCGTAAAGTAACACCCACCCGAAGAAGTTGGGTGACGGGATGAAATACTAATCGGATTCCATCATTGCCCAAGTATGCACAAATATCTCGCCCAAGAGGATCCTAAAATAACAAAGTGGTTACGCAGCTGATAGATAATGTTTTAGGAACCTAATAAAGAATCAAAACTGTCTTTGGTGGAAATTCGAAAATGTTGTACCTTCCGTGAATACATAAGTTCAACGTTGGTCAATATCCGTGCATTTTGTTGAATGAGAGTAAGCACCTATAGAAACTAGATATCGGTAATACCGAAAAAAAAACTGCAAGAGCATGAAGGCAAAAAAGCACACCTGGTTCAAAGGGGTACCAAGGATAAATTCGATATTCTCGTTCTTTAGTCCTTCTTGAGGAAGGACCTGAAAGTAACCATGATTGAAAGGAAAAATAAGTAAAAAGCAAGCTGATTGAAAGTGGATGCGAATTCTCTTCGTGAGGAACCTGTGCGATTTTCTCCGTGCTCCGTTTCCCAGGGATCCTGTCAGTGTAATCAATTTAGCCAAGATTTTACCTACTCGTACATCGTGGATGGGAAAGAACATAATCGGGATTCGGGATCTATTAAAGGCGATCGACATCACAAAGGGAAATAGACGTTGTCATGTAAATTACGAGATCTCTAGATAAAAGGAAGGAGGTGGTGCAGTGGCAGGTGGCGCACTATCCCACAAGTATGGTCCAGTTTTCTAAACCCGGGAGAATTTTCGCCTTGGCCAACTAGACCTTCTACTTTTTGGGGATGGTTCAATTGATGCCAGGCTCGTCAAGACAGTCCAAGGTATTGTATAAGCCATGCACATATTCAAAATTTCGCTAATATTCTGAATGTAATTCATTTGCGATGCGAGGACGCGTCCCAAATACAGATTAATGCAGAAGGCTAGTGCAGAAGTTTATGAATCACCTACAACTAAAATGTTACCTCAAATGTCAACGGATCTTGTCTGGGGGTCATGGACATGCTTGCTGGACGGGATGAAGCAGATTTCATGTGTTCCTGGAATCCTTATGTCCTGAGTACTTGTTATTATCAAATTCTCGAGTTTGGAGAAAATCTATGTCAGATAGCAATTTTAAACGAGAAAATAACCAAGTAAATAAACGTAGAAGTAATCACAAAAGAAATATTCGATAGTGTAGCTTAGAAAACATATGACTGGCATCTGAGCGCAGTTCTAGAGTTGGAGCACATTAACTCAAATCCCGAAATTCCCATACTTAGTCAAAAGTTTCTCTAACCACTATGCGGCTATTTTCAAAAAGGCTATCTTCCAAACATACAAGTCTTCAAGGGTTTAGCGATTAGTGATAAGGACGTTTTATTGAGGGTTTACAAAACGTGTTTACATAAGTCCCATAGCTGAATGCGGTACGTCTGTTTTCTGCCAATATAAGATAAAGGATATCCAGTTAATTGAAAAATCCAGCATAACTTCACTCTAAAGCTGGTTATTAGGTCGGGTGATGCCAATTACGCCCAGGTGCGTCGTCCGAATTCAGGAAATAAATGTTTACAATTGCATTGTTTATGTTCTCGCAGGAAGGTTTCTGATACATGTATGGTGTTCAAGTTGCTGACCGGTATTTCTAGGATCGATGCATCCAAATTTTATGCAAAGTTGGAATCTAGAACTAGAGGTGGACCCAAGGAAACTTCGTATGCAACGCCAAAAACCAATATTCGACGATACAGCTTTACTTGTCGGGCCGGTACTACTTTTTATACTCGAATCAGATGTGGCACTCACCACTTCCACCACTCCTTGCAAAGAAAAAGCTCTTGTCTTATGATTACGTTACGTTGTGTTCTCAGTTGTAGCAATTGTTTCCCACTTTTGCCTTGTGCAACGTCTTCAATAAATAAATAAATACCGGATTATTAGTTATTGGATTTTATCTGATTGATTTAATGGATGAGGAAGATCAGCAATTGGATCGGGTCGGGAGAGCCTCTATCTCGGTCTTTTTCTACTGGCTCTCTATAGCTCTCAAATTGAGAAGTCTGTGGCTGATTGAACATGTACGATGAGTGAGCATAGTAGCAACTCTCAGAGTGCAGTCTGAAAATAAGCCTCGCAATGAGGGAAAAATAGCCGCATTTTGTACATGGGAAAGATCAAAAACCCAAACGAGAAAAAAATTTCCTGACGATTTCTTTCGAGTGACATTGGAAATGTCCCTTCCTACCTTTGTTATATGCTTGATTGATCAAGTTTCTATCAAAGAAGTTGGCCCCCACCGATCCATCTGTACAACATCCGAAAAGGAAGACACTCTTGAGTCAATGCTCAGCCCAATATTGAGAGAAAGTTTACCGTAGTCCAAAACCGCATGTAATGGAGACAGAACCTTCGGTAAAAATTTCAACTGCAAAGTCGCTCCACGTGTGTCTGCTCTCTAAGATCCGGAACGCAATTCATTGGATTGAAAACTCACTCAGATTTCATCTATCCTTCACGTTGGGCATCGGAAATTTCGAGGTGACCAGTGAAAAACTATTTTACGAGCGACTGATTAAAGGCACCAAATTCATATTTTCGACAACATTTGTGAAGCTATTTGCACCCTGTTACATGTCCTTTTACTTAAATGAGCATGTAGGGTGGTGTAAGGCACTTTATTAAGGACTATGGAAGTGGTGTGGGGCAGTACAGAGAGGCTGCTTTCATAGTCTGCGAACGGTCGCCGGTCGCTCGCGAGATAGGTCCGCGACCGGTCGCTCGCAAAATCGAGTTCAGATATACTGCTTCAAAGTATTGGTGTGAAAGTTGTGCGGCAGAGATACCAGTAGATATCTATAATTCAACACCGACAAATGTCAACCTGTTGCGTAATTGACATTTAATGCTAAGCTTAGCTTCTCTCGGAGCAGAGCGTTCATGTAGCTAAGGCCGAAGAACCACCAGTCACCGAATGTCGAGTTTTAAATGACGTTCCGAAACTGCAAGTCATAGATACGCATAACAAAATTCATGGTTTGGTAACATAGGTACTTCCCTATTGGTTAGGAAAACCTGGAAACTCTTGATCCTTGACAAGTTACACGTACAAACAAGTTACACGTATCCAACACAACTAAGAATTCTCTTCATTTTGTTGTAACCCACAATTTCGATGTTGGTCTGTTGTAGGAGGTCGTAGAAGCATAATATGTGTCGTGAGGCCCACGACTTCCATCTAGGACTGCACTACACCGCATGCGCATTATTCGACGAGCAGTACCGTTTCCACCAATCATGCTGCGCGCCCTTCGCATCGATTGCCACGTGGCATGGGGCGCCGCAGAGCGTGCACGCAACATCTCTGCCACTCTTCACCATGTCAAGATATCGCTCATTCGGCTCTCTTCCTTGCGCATAGTCATCGTGCAGTCTTCGTCGGTAACCGGCCTCGTCAACAGGAGTAACAACGGATCGCAGGTACCAGGATCACCACGGTGCCAGGACCGGACGAAAGGAGGAGAGGTTCCGAAGTGCAAGGAGGACGACGGATGGGATGCGAGCTGATAGTTGCCGCGAAGTAGCTATGTTCAACTGAGGAGGATGCATGTACTAAGGAACCTCCAAGACGAGCTAGGGGACTCGGGGCCGCGACGACACACGGTCCGTGCGTGACACACGTCCTCGGAGACCGTGTTCTTATCCTTCCTCGAGGGCAGCGAGTGCCGGAGTCCTCTAGTGACACAGGAGTTTGCACGTAGGTTCTCTTACCTCATTTAATTGTGTAAAAAAATAAGCTCGATTTTTCTTTTGTTGATAATAGTTAGGTGGGCAAATCGCTCTTATAGCGCACACTCAGTAGGATGAAGTTTCATGTAATATTAGCCGCAGTAGCCTTGCTCCTTAGGTTAAGGCATCTTCTGCTATTCGGGGTTGCATCAATAAGGAGCGCCCCGATTAGTGGCAGAGCAACAACTTCAGCGAGGTGCAGACGCCACACCCTATGCACATCCTAAAATTCGCGACAAAGAGAAAAGCTGTCTGTATGGGAACTACCAGTCAATACCACCTATTCAGATTTATTTTCAAAAAAGGTTTACTCCGTCGAGATTTTGGGAGCGAGAAGATCCTTTCTACTAGCCATTTGGCCACTGAGTATTCCTAAGGAAAAAACTCAGTAACCATTTTCATCGTGAACAGTGCCTTCAATGGAGACGGAAGAATGGCTGAGCAGCGTCTCCACACTTACCAAGAGAAGATCAGAGGCGACATTTCATTGGCGGAACACTGGCGGAATTTTATACGCCCTACCGACTTTCTACATAAAGAAATTACTATCTCGTAACCTATGGTTAACGACGACGACGATTCAGGAGATTACCTCCCTCTGCTCGCGGACAAAACTCCAACTCTGAAAAAGAAAGAAAACGCAAGTTTGGGGCTCGTATATGAACCGATTACGTGTGCACATCAACAAGACGAAAAGCCCCAGCATTTTTGTCATCATTCTTTGAATGATGATATTCCAGTCTAAAGAAACGTGAAAGGGACTCCACTACAGCAAGTCAAAGTGGATGTTGTTGCTTCTTCTACCAATCGGAGATTTTAGATTTTTTAGGTGTAGAATGCTCACCTGTTTCTATTTTCAGAATTGGTGTTGCCAAAGGTAGATCACCTAGCGTGTTGATAGTAGTTTTGCCTGCGAGTTTCATGTTCAATTGTTGGAAGAGCTTCACGTTTGAGATTCTTCCGTATCAAAGGAGTATTATCAGGACATCTCTTACTAAAGGGGAGCGAGCTGTACAGCGGCAATCTAGGATACGTTCCTCTCCTCAGGTAGTTCACTGTTCTAGTTCACTCGTTCAAACCACGATTAAATCACAACAGATCCTTTCTCTCAACTGTAACCTTGTTTTCTGCTCAACCTTCAAACTAACGGCTACTCCTACGACGCTTAAAGATAGCACCTGTTTCTTCGCCAGTATGAGGTCCCTTCCTGAAAACTCTAGCCGTGTCGACTTTTTACTATGTAATAATTATGATCTGCTCATGTTTTGGCGGAACGTGGCTCAATTCATCTCCACGCTTTGGTCTCTTATTTGGGTTAGGAGTTACTGTACTGTGCGTTGCGATAGGCGCAAGCGTCACGGTGGTGGTGTGCTGCTGTTAGCACGAAACATTTTCAATTATATCAAGTTCATTTCCGACTCCATTCGCGAGGCCTATGAAATTTTAGCTGTGGAAATCTATTTATTTTGAAAGTGCGAAGATAGGATTCATTATAATTTATAGAGCTCCAACGTGTTCGCCGTTGCTTAGTGATCATATTATTGGTGTTCTTTCCAGTTGCCTGGAGGAATCCCTTCGAGAATGCTAGCTGTGTAAATGATGAATATGAAATGTTCCTCAGTATTTTGCAGCATGCTATTGAAGAGCTCATCTTCCATCGTACCTACAGAATATTTTTCATCATCGGATTTGTTTATTTGTGCTACTAAAGTTTTCCAAAAGAGCAACATACAAGCACGGATCCTGATTGAATGCAACCAATTGTGAAATTTCATACAATTTGGATCGTCACACTCACCCTTCCCTCCGGATTGCACCTCATCCCAACAACGTTTGGATACATGATCTTGGGACAAAAATTGCCGCAGAAAAGCACAGAGAAGAAAATTCTGTTCTTGTACACACTTTCAAAACACGCAATCCAATGGATTATTGAGAATAATACTGGAACTCCGAGCTTTGCGAAAAAGTTGAGGAACTTTCCAGAACCGAAAAAGAAGAAAAAGCAGACAAAAATGCTCAATTTCTGAGGGGATTCAATGATACCAAACGATCAAAAAAGTCAGCTCTACGCCAACAACATCAACGAAATGTGACAAATCAAAGACGGAACGCAAAGCAACCAATGGAATGGGAAATTGTTCTAATCGTAGACACCTAACAGAAACGCAATAATTCAAAGCTAGGAACAATACCAAGACTAATACGTAATAGCGGTAGTGAAGCAAGGGAAGCCGAAGTCCACTGCGGAATAACAACTATATTAGAAGACCCATGAATCTTCTGATCCCACTTGCAATTGTTTCCGATCAAAGTCATCAAAAAACACCAAGGAAGGGCGTCAAATTGAAGAACAACATCAAGATGAAGATTGCGCTCAGGAAAAGAAGCTGGAAGAACGAAGAATGATTTATGGTAGAAATGTGACTCAAATTGTAATTCACTTATGCTTACCATGGGAGCTTTCTGCACGAAATATTACCGTTGTATGCAGAGAGTTTCGTAGAAATGAGATGATAATAGATAGTAATATGTATATGATGATACAGTGATTGTGATATCCTTCTTATTCATAAAGCAGTAACTTGGTATGTCGGTTTGTAGGTTTGTTGGTTTGTATGTCTGTCCGTCCGCAAACTTTATGATTACGATAAAGGCAGTGATATGGGTAACTCAGTTCTATCCTACATTCCTCTGCATTGCTTCACTTAAAAGGGGGGANACTAAAGGGGAGCGAGCTGTACAGCGGCAATCTAGGATGCGTTCCTCTCCTCAGGTAGTTCACTGTTCTAGTTCACTCGTTCAAAGCACGATTAAATCACAACAGATTCTTTCTCTCAACTGTAACCTTGTTTTCTGCTCAACCTT